TGACCCAGGTCATCAAAATCGATGGCTGGGCTGCCTGCCATATCAAGATGGTAGAGGGACCAGCAGGCTCCTGCGTAGCACGGACCCAGGTAGCCGCTCAATTCGAGAGCCACGGGAACGTTTAGCACGGTCTGGTTCAGCGACAGCAAGGGCACACCACACCGTCCAGTCAAACTCACAAGCGCGCCAGAGAGTTGTCGAATGTGTGACGATGGGAATACGGCGCAGCTCGAGTACGGGCCGTCATACACAATTGTGCGAGGCACGGGCGCATCACCATCTGCAACACAGCGGCCCATGACACCGTACGAGGCCTCACAGTAACCGCGCGAGACCTGTCCGATGAGGGTGAAGAGTTTGCCAGAGCTGGTGATGGTGAGCTTGAGTGAGTCGGGACCGCGCAGGATGTAGTTGTTGCTTGACTCACGCTCAAGCGTGTAGCCGGAGACAATGGTTGTGTTGCCCGAGGCAAACGCCGCCGCCGCAGCCTGGTCCCCGTCAGTGCCGACAAGCGACACGACAAGGGTCGAAGTGGCAACATCGATGGTGAACTCGAGAACACGACTGCCAATGCTCACCCGAACGTAGTTGGCACACGACGCCGTGGCTTGCGGGCAGCGCACCTGTTCGGTCAAGACGGAGAAGTACTGGTTGGGCGACAGCGTAATGATGTAGCGGCCCTGCGAGCTAAACTTCTTTTGCTCGCCCAGCAAGTTGGCGTAGTAACCCTGCCCAAACATGGTCCACGTGTAGAGCACAGCCGTATCGCGTGACACGGTGAGTACACTGCAGTCATCGCCCGAGTAGCCTGAGGTGCAGACACTGCAATCAAGAGCACCCTGGAAGCGAGGCTCGCAGACGCAATTTCCACTTGCTTCCAAGCATTCACCGTGGCCGGAGCAGGGCTCCACGGCCCCACCACGACAAGCATCGGCACACTCATCACCATAATACCCATCGTGGCAAGTGCATGTGGAAGCGACGGAATCGGGCTCGCCCATGAAGCAACGCAAGTTGCAGTCAGTACCGTAGTAGATTGGGAAGATGACCGAGCCCTGAGTGTAGTGGTGGCAGAGGGGCGCAAGCGGCCAACTGGCTGTGGTGGGCACGAGGTCATCACAAACATCCGAGTAGACAATGGTTGCAATCATGCCGGGGTTCAATTTCGCCGCCAATGACACATCTTTGAGGCACATGTCACGGAAGAACTGGCGAATGGACGGTCCCATTGCGGAGCAAGCGGCGATGTGAGGCTGCGACTCGTTGAAGGCTGAACTGCAGAGCGCTTCGGCAGTCGAGCGCAGCGAGGTGCTGGACCACGTGGTGGTGTACAGCTCTTCTGTAGAAAGGTCTACCACGGTCAGCTCAAGCGTGCTGAAGGACCACTTGGGAGCGCGATACTCGGAGCTCGAAGGTAGGTACAAGCAGGGCGCATCGTATTCGCTATCTTCGCATGTAAAGGGGCTGATGCGGTCGCGCACGTATTCACCTTGGCCAGCATTGAAGTTCCAGTATGCGATGAGACCATTTGAGTCCAGGCTAGGCGCGGTCGACCAGAGCTCGAGCAACTCGGTCTGGTCGAGAGCGTAGTTCCACAGATGGGCCTCGTCAATGCTGCCGACAAATGGCACTGAAGCACTGTAGCGGCTAGGTTCGGTGGCCACGCCCAACTGACCGAAGGACAGGGCACCACCGGGCATGAACGGATTGCCCGTGAGAATGAGACTTTGAGAAGCAAATTCAGGCTGAACAGAGCCATCGGCCTGAGGCACACCAACGCTGCCCATAACGTAAACGGTGAGCGTGCCAGATTGCAGGTCGCTCGATGGGCGCCAGATCAGTACCACTTGGTTCCAATCGCCGACCTGCAGCTCGAGATCGAGCGGGGTCAGCCGCGAGTTCCACAACACATGCAAGCGATGCGCCTCAGGGTGTGTGCAGTCTGCGTCCTCCGCCGGGCACTCCGGTTCACCTACAATCGCAAAGACGCTTCGCGTGGCGTAGGACACAATAGGACCACCGTAGGATTCAGCCTGTACGTAGAAGTCCAGCGTGATGGCCTGCTCACCAAAAATGTACAGAGCCTTGGAAGTGCATGCGGTGTTGTTGAAGCTGAGAGCGTAGAGCGACCCCAGCAATTCACGCTGCTCTCCATAGTTGCCGTAGTCGTACAAGACTGCAAAGTGGGATGCAAGGCGATTAACTCGATAGCGTGGAACGACGAGCTCATGGATGTTCTGCTGAGTCATATTGGTCGTGTAAAGATTGGAGACTGGAATGTCCGTGAGATAGTGCGTCGCGTTGATGGCAAAGTCGTTCGTGGGATCGCTGTCGCAATTGCCAAGAAGGCCATCAACTGTATTGCAGAGTTGTGAGGAAATGCGGAAGGCCACCGAAAGCATGCGACCCACAATACGCACGTGGAGGCGCGTTTGGGCGGTACGGATCGAGTATGCCTCAGAATCCACCTGTTTGAGGGTCGAGCCATCGAAGCTATGTGCGTCCAGCTGTCCCTCCGAACCGATGGGCAGCGGCTCGCCATCGAGGAACACCAGTGGTGCGGCATTGACCACGTACGGCGCGCGAACCACCAAGACGTGGGCGGCCGTAGCATACGACACAGCTACGAGGCAGAAGGCCCGGGCACCGCAAGGGTTCAGACGTGCCTGAATCGTCAGGGTCGAACTCTCGTACAAAAGCAACTCGTCGGCGCCCGCGAAGGAAAATCCAGCACCGTCAAAGGTTGTAAAGCGCCCGTATCCGCTGGCCGTGAAGACGCGATATTCAGAGGCAGGGATTTCAGTCGTGGCGACACCGCAATCGTGGCCAATCCAGCCATCCGCACAAGCCGAACATGACGTGCGGTAAGGGGCCAAGGTCGAATTGTGCTGAACCGGGATGCGGTGATTGGGGTAAGTGTAGTCAAAGCCGACACGGTCTGAAACTTGCGATGGGCTGCCGTCGAAGTCTTGTGTATCATCGCCACTCCACTTGAGCTCACAAACACACTCACCAGTGGTGGTGTCGCAATAGCCGTGACCACTGCAGGCCAAGCCATTGGGACCAACGGGGCAAGCGAAGTCGCAAGTTGGACCCCAGAAGCCCTCAAGGCATTGGCAAACCATCGGCTCACCGTTGCTTCCACCAGCCCTGGTAGTTGTCGTTGTCGTTGTCGTTGTCGTTGTGGTGGTGGTGGACGAGGAGACGCCCGGGCCGTTCTGGACGTCATCGTCAACATCCAGCTCGTTACGGTCATCTGCCTCATCGCAAGGCACCAACGCGACGAGGGCAGAGCTGAGGTCCACGCTCCGGTCGTAATAGTTGGAGTTCGGGTTGTTGAGAACCCAAGTGATGCGATCACCGTGGCCAATGTTCACGCTGAAGACGTTATGCACACGTCCAGGCATGAAGGCAGTCGGTTGGCCTAGATCGGACGCGGTTCGAGATGTGCTGGTTGTGGAGCTAGACGAGGCGATAAACGGCGAACGTTGGTAATCGGAGAGGGTTGGCATAAAGCGGTTGAAAGCGCCGATCGCAATGCTAACAGACACTTCGTTCACATTCTCGTAGCCGAGCCAGACCTGGATGCCACTGGTCAGATTGCGGACGCACTCGACATGCGGTACAACGGGCAAGTAGTCCACACGTTCACTGACAACGCTGTCGACGTTCTCATCATCCTCGACAGACGCCGTGGAGCCGGCGTTTGAAGCCAACGAGGCGGGCACGAGTTCGCCCTGACCGGCCTTGCAGCGCACCCCACAACCCTCATCGCCGTAATCATCGTGGCAGGTCGCACACGAGGGGTATTCCCAGCCCTCCTGGCAGATTGTGCAGCCTTCTCCTTCCCAATGACCGTTCACGCTGTCATCATAGCACCGACAGATGGCACCGTTAGGAACGGTGGCATACCCATGCTCGCAATACACGGAGCAGTCGTGTGTCGCCCAACCAATATAGTTGCGCTGACACACGGAGCAGCCGGTACCCGCGTAACGCGTGGCACACAGGGAGCAGTCGCTACCAGCAAACGAGTTATTGCACACGCAGGCCGGAACGCCGGTTGTTGCGGAGATGGCACAGACACCACGGCCCGAGCACGTCGGGGTGCCTGGGCAAACAAGATCCTCGCACGCCTCGCCCGTGTAGCCTGGGTCACATCGACAGACCGGCCCAGAAGCACGATCCACGCAGCTGCCACGATTGTTGCAATCTGGCTCCCCGGGGCAGTCGACCTGACCACACAGGGGGCCCTTGCGTCCTTCACGACAGATGCACTGCCGGTTGGACAGATCAATGCCGAGCCCAGGAAGCGGGGAGATGGCGTTGTCGTCATCCTCCACAGCACTATCCTCAACCGACAAGCGCAGAGTCAAGTCGGCCAGGCGCTGCAGCGCACATAAATCTGGAACTGTGATGACTGCACCGGTGACGTTGTTCTCAAACACGTACACACCAACGGCCAGCCAGGCTTGCTCACCGGCAACAAGACCAACGGTACCGTTGCTGGCTGCAAGCTGCACCGCCACGCCATCACACATGGTGGCCGCAGCCCGACACACGTCCGTGTCACGCGCCACCACCCCGTTGAAGGCAAAAGCAGAACCATCGTACGTCAAGCGGGGTGAGACATGTGGCCACAGGGCCAGGACAGGCGTTGGTTGCGTGGTCGTAGTGGCGCTCGGGGTGGTGCTTGATGTGCTCGCGGGCGTGGAGCCAGTGGCCGTGGTCGCGCTTCCGGCTGTCGTTGTCGTAGTGGAGCTGACCGCAGGAGTTGGCGCTTGAGCCGCATACTCAGCAATCATGGTGGCAAGGAGGGGCGAGCATACATCGGCTGCATCAGGAATAGTACAATTGGGGCCACTCCAGCCCGCTGCACAGCCCCCACAGGTCGGGCCGACAATGTTGTCGTTGAAGCAATAGCAAGTGGCTTCGGCTTCGGTACCGTTGCGGGCGCAGAGACCGCGATTGTGACAATCGTCGCTGCAAACAAATGTGGCACAATTGTCACCCGCAAAGCCAGGCTCGCATTCACAGTGGGGAAGGTCATCTCCGTTGTCCCAGACACACGTGCCATGCGCCGAGCAATTGTTTGCACAGTCAAACTCGGTGCAGAATGTGCCAGTCCAACCAGCAGCGCAGCCGCAGGTACCCTCACCGCCACATTCGACATCGCAGTTAGTGCCGCTGAAGCACGGGTCACAGACACAGATGCCTGAATCCATTGGAACTTGGTTGCCATTGACACAGGGTTGGTCACATGACGTACCCATCCAGCCCTTGGAACAGTTGACGCAGATGGGGCGGCTGTAGGCCTCATCTGGATCGCAGTCTCCGCGTGCATTGCAATCAGGTTCGCCGGGGCAGTCGGGCGTGTTGCAATCAACCCCACGCCAGCCAGGATCACAACGACAAACCTGTTCCTCCGGATTGCAAGTACCGTGGCCCGAGCAAGATTCGCCGACGCCCGGGCAGCCACGGATACCACAGCGCTCGCCCCACCAGGCTGTGTCACACTCACAGCCACCGTTGACGCAGGTGCCATGGTTGGAACATTCGCGCGTGCACGACGGGCCATCAAAGCAGATGGCGGGCTCACATTCGCAAATGCCAGAGTTCATAGGGAATTGCGTGCCGTTGACGCAAGGAAGTTCGCAACCGGGACCCATCCATCCTGCCTCACAATTGATGCAAGAGGGCGGGTCGTAGAGTCCGGTACACGTGCCACGACCCAGACAGTCAGGCTCGCCGAAGCAGTCAGGCACTGAACAATTAGCAGCCTTCCATCCGGCATCACACGTGCAGTTCTGCGTGCCAATGTCGCACACACCATGGCCCGAGCAAGGAAGGTCGATGCCGGGGCAGGAGCGTACTTCACAGAATTCTCCAAAGAAGCCTGTTTCGGCCGAGTTACAATCGCAATAGTTGCCCGTTGAGGAATACTTACAGATGCCCTGATCTGAGCAAGTTGTGTTGCAAATATCTCCCGACACACAATCATCGCAGACGCAGATGCCCGAGTTCATGGGATACTGCACGCCGTGCACACAAGGAATATCGCACGCGGCACCCATCCAGCCCTCGATGCAATTGATGCATGTGGGCGCGCCTAGCTCCTCATCAAAGATGCACTCGCCACGTCCATTGCAGTCTCGCTCACAATCGGGAAGGTGGCAACCACGCCCCTTCCAATTGAGATCGCACTCACACTCAAAGGCGTCGTTACAAGTGCCGTGATCAGAGCAAGCAATGCCTCCGAGACCCGGGCAAGTTTGATTAGAGCAATCGCTCCCGGTCCAGCCAGAAGACTCATCATACGGGTCCATGTTGCACTCGCATGCACCATCAACACACGTGCCGTGGTTTGAACAAATGAGGTTGCAGGATACACCTGACCAGCAACCCGTGTCACACTGGCACTCGCCTGAAAAGGGCGCACGCTCGACACCATGAAGGCACAAAAGCTCACAAGCGGCACCAATGTAGCTGCCGCTGCAATTGACGCACCAGGGTTCATCGTCGGTGGAGACATCGCATACGCCGCGGTCATTGCAATCATCTGCGCACAGCGGGATCTCGCATCCTGTGCCGTTGAAGCCAGGGTCACAGACACAAGTCTCGGTGGCCAAGTTGCACACGCCACGCCCGCTGCACTCCACATCAATGCCCGGACAGCGCTTCTCGCGACAGTACACGTCGTATTCAACCAGCTCGTTCGGTGGACAGTCACACGTTCCTTCAAGCGAACATGAGCCAATGCCGTTGCACAGGGTGTCACAAGTATCGCCGTGGTAACACGAGAGACATTCGCACTCGTTGGCTTCCTCGGTGCTCTCGACGCCATGCACACAAGGCACCTGGCATTCCAAGCCGACATAGCCAGCGTCGCAGTCAAAACAGCGAACGCGTGCTTGAGCTTCGCCCGGCGTGAACATGCCACATACGCCACGGTCATTACAGTCGTTGGGGCAAACGGGAACCGAGCAATCCTCCATCTCAAAGCCAGAATCACAGAAGCATTCGCGCGTAGCTTCATTGCACTCGCCATTGCCTGAGCACGCCAGGTAGGCGGAAGCGGGCACCGTCAGCTGGGTGATCGAGCGATTCACGACGTAGACAGCATCCGAGCCAGGGCAGCCTTGCTCTTCGCAGCCGGAACCGTGCCAACCATTACTGTAATCACACACGCACTGTTGTGTCGCTTCGTTGCAAGTACCATGGTTGTTGCAGACCACGTCACACGAAGCCCCTGTGTAGCAGGGGTCACACTCGCATTCAAACGAATCCAGGGAGAAGTTGCCATTGACGCACGGCAGTTCGCACGCCACGCCCGTAAAGTCGGGATGACAGGCACAGAGACCTCCCTCGAGACAGTCACCATTGCCGTTGCATGGTGGATCGCCCGGACACACGGGCTCAGAGCAATTGGCTCCGGCAAAGCCGTTATCACACGTGCACACGCCAGTCGCGCTGTTGCACACGCCGTTGTCGCTACATGTTGGGGAGCCAGGGCAGGAGGCGACATTGCAGGCCGAACCAGACCACGAGTCACCGGGAACAGCGGTGCGACAGACGCACTCGCCATTGACGATGACACCATGGTCATCGCACTCAACGTCACACGACACGCCCGTGTATTGCGGCTCGCAGACACACAGACCTGATCGCAGGGGCGTCTCGACCCCGTGCACGCAAGGCACCGAACAAGAGGGGGACAAGTAGCCGGCATCACAAACGCAATAGGCTTGACCGTCCTCCCAGTCGCCGTAGCACTCGCCATTGCCCGAGCAGTTTCTGGGGCAATCAGGAATGTGGCACCCAATGCCTGCCCAGGAGGGAAGGCAATCACATTCGCCCAAGGCATTGCAGTCGCCGTGACCCGAGCACTCTGCACCCGCGACCTTGGTTGGGCAGCCCTCAATCTCGCAGCTAGCGCCTGAGCGGCCACTCTCAAAAGTGCACTCGCAAACTCCACCGACAATGCTTCCAAAACCGGAGCACTCGATATCGCACGAGGCTGAGGTCCAGCCCGGATCACAGATGCAGATGCCCGAGTTGGGCGGAGATTGCGTTCCATGCACGCATCGTTCCGAACAGGCAGCTCCCATGAAAACACCGATGCAGTCAACGCAGGTGGGGTCCGTTTCGTTCTCCCACTTGCACGTGCCCTGGCTGTTGCAGTTGGGCACGCCGGGACAGTCGGGGGTTTCGCAGCCGACGCCCTGCCAGCCGTTGAAACACTCACAAACGCCGCCCGAGCACTCGCCGTTGCCACTGCATGACTGACCCTCTTGCATGCGCCTGTAATCGGTGAAGCCACAGACGCCATCGTATGCACCCTCGGCGCAAGGGCCGTTACCGGGGCAACCGGGCACGTCGCACAGCTCGCCCCAGAATCCCTTCTCGTAATCGCAGGCACAAAACACGACGCCCTGATCGGACGTGCGGATTTTACCGTTGCCCGAGCATTCAGCATCACAGCTCTCGCCACTCCAACCCGTTTCACACAAGCAGAAACCTGAGTTGACGGGTGTTTCCACGCCGTGAACGCAGGGTGTGTTGCAGTCACGTCCCATCCAACCTGCATCGCAGTTTTGACAAATGGGTTCCTCGAGCGTGTAGTTACAGAAGCCACGGCCATAGCAGTCAGGCTCGCCGGGGCAGTCCGGACTCTCACAGCCAGGACCACGCCACCCGGGGTTGCAGTCACAGACAGCCAACTCCGAGTTGCAGATACCGCGGCCAGAGCAAGACTCACCGTAAGCCATGCGTTCGGCGCCAGAGAGATCACAAATGCCCGGCGCACTGGTATTAAAAAGGCACGCGCCGTTGCCAGGGCAGCCAGGCTCGTCGCACAATTCACCCCAGAAGCCTTGCAGGTAGTTGCAGATGCACTGGTCGCCCTCGATGATGCCAGCGCCACTGCATTGGACATTGCAACTCTCCGAGGTCCATCCAGGCTCACAAACGCAGTTGATAGAGTCCTTGGGCGTTTCGATACCATGAGTGCAGGGCGTGCCGCAATCCAAACCCATCCAGCCCTCATCGCAGTTAACGCAACGGACAAGAGGTGCGTAGGTGTCAGGATCGCAGGTGCCACGGAAGTGACAGTTGTTGAGACAATCGGGAACGCTGCAGGCCACACCAACCCAGCCGGGGTCACAGGTGCACTCGGCATTCTCCGAGTTGCACTCACCATGGCCGGAGCAGTCTTCATCGGTAATAGTAGGGCAACCGGGAATCTCGCAGAAGGTGCCCTGACGACCCGAATAAAAGTCGCAAACGCACTCTCCCGTGTCATCGTCAATCGTGCCGTAGCCCGAGCATTCACGATTACATCCTTCGCCGGCCCAACCAGGCTCACAGACACAAATGCCCGAGAGCGCGGGTTCCTCCACCCCGTGGAGACAAATGGAGCCACAATCGGCACCCATCCATCCCTCGGTACAGTTGACACAGCGGGGGAAGAAGAAGTTCTCACCATCACAGTCACCGCGTCCATTGCAATCATGCGGGCAGGAGACAACGCTGCAGTCATCCCCACTCCAGCCGACCCCACAGACACACTCATGCAAGTAGCTGTTGCAGGCGCCGTGACCATTGCAGGCACCGTCCTCGCCGGGGCAGATGGGACTCTGGCAAAGGTCACCACCCCAGTCGTCGTCGCATTCGCACACCTCCGCGGTACACACGCCGTGCCCAGAGCACGATTCGTCGCACAATACACCGTGGAAGCAGGGTGCGCATTCGCACTTGCCATCGGGGTTGCATTCGCCGTTTCCACTGCATTCTTCTGCGCACGTCGAGCCAGTAAAGCAGTCGTCGCAGATGCAAGTGCCGTGCGGTGAACACACGCCGTTGCCGTTGCAGGTGGAGTTGGAATCGCATTCATACTCGCAGGTGTAGCCGACCCAGCCAGGTTCGCAAACGCACATGCCGTTGGGGCCCATCGCACCGTGGAGGCCGCAATCGCCCACAAACATACATGCAGGGCCAGCCCAGCCGCTGTCACAAGTGCATGTACCTGTGCCAGCGTTCCAAGAACCGTGGTTACCACACACGGTCTCAAAACACAAGGTGCCGTTCTCGGCACGGGAGGAAGCTGGGGTATCGCCACCAACGGCAACGGGGTTTACGCGGAAGTCTTGGTTCGTCAGATGATGCGAAATCAGTGCGGCACGACCGCCGCCGCCGCCGCCGCCGCCATGGGAACTGCCGATGCCAACGAACCTGTCGCCATCACCGCCGGCGATGTTGACGATGCCATGGCCCTCCAGGTAAGGTGCCTCGAGGTAGGCTGAGCCACCAGAACCACCGCCGTCTCCAGAGTCGCCACCGTCCGCGCCAATAACAGAGATTGTGCCCTCAAACTCGAGAAGTTCGCCAGAAAGCAGGTTGAAGAGGCCACCACCATTTCCGCCAGAGAGATTGCTTGAGGAATCATCATCGGTACCCTCCGAACCCACCGTGATGGGCGCACAGGCTGAGCCGTACACATAGCCGTTGTCAACGAGAGGATTGGTAAAACCTCCATGGCGACCGCGACCGCCGTGAGAAGCGCCGTCCCTGATGCTGCGCGTCGAGCCCGGGCCCGCTTGACTGGACCAGCCGTTGTAATCGGCCTCAAGGGTGGCCGAACGGTCGATACGAGCGCGGCGAACCCAAATTGAAGTTTGCGAGCCATGAATGGCCGCCGATCCTTGCACCTGCAAGCTATCAGCGGCCAAGAGACCACCCACGTTGGAACTCGTTAGCTCACCAATGAATGAGTTGGACATGGTCAAGCTTGAGCCAGATGCGAGCGTCAGGGAGTGGAGCAGCAGCTTGTTACCGCGTGCTGCATACTCTGCCGGCGTACAAACAGCGTTGGTGCGACAGCGAGTCGTACCGCCACTCACGATCAGCGTTGCGCTTGGCAATACAAATACATCGATGGCGCCGAGATAGCCCTGAAGGGTGAGAGACCGAGGAATATACAGGGCAGGCGGGACCTCCAGCACGCCCCCGGTTTGTATGATGACCGAGGCAGCCAGGGAGGTACTGGCATCAGTGACGCCTCCAACAACTACGGTGGTGCTTCCAATCCGCAAGGTGCCAGTCAAGTCACCCTCCAATTTACCCAGAGTCAAGGATGTGGTGGGAGATGCCACGTTGACCACGGCAGAGCGCAGCAAGATGAGCTGATCAATGGCGATGTTTGTGCCCTGAAGTTGGGAAGCAGGGGCACTTGAGCCGCGCTCCTGGTTATCAAAGATGGCCCGGCGGTACGTATCGAAATCATGAACGTACTCGATGAACACAGTGCCCATGCCGCCGTGCTGAGCCGATGCGCCACTGCTACGGGCACCACCCAGCGACTCGACGACGCCGTGGAATTGGAAATCGCCTTCGGATATGTACAACCCGACACGACCACCGCTGCCACCACCGCTGCCACCATAATTGTCATCGTTAGCGCCGCGACCGCCGTTTGCGGTCACCGTGCCGTGCCCAGCAAACTCAAGGCATTCGATGCGGATGGAGCCACCGCTGCCGCCACCACCCATGGTGGCGTCTGCGCCTCGTGCGGTAATGTTGCCGTCCACAAAGAAGCGACTGCCAACACGAAGAGTAAGCGCACCGCCGCCTCGGGCCGTATTTCCTTGGCCACCAGCACCCGGTTGCGGTGAACTCAAGGTCAACTCACCATAGGGAGCTGCGACAGAACCCGTGTAGCCAGATCCGCCATAACCGCCGTAGGAGCCACCCGCACGCCCATTCACAGGGCCCGAGAAACCCTGTCCATCGCTGCTGAGGTAACCATCAAGCTCGATGTGCAATGTGGATACCACGGCTGTGAGGTTCAGGGTCGTCGAGCTAAAGTTCGAGCGGTACCGCATGTTCAGGGACGCTGCCCATAGGACAGCGTTGGGGGAGCTAATGTTGAGCTTGCCGTTGGCCAAAATGTCGACCTCATCGAACAAGAGGTGACCATCGTCAGAGATGGAGAGGTACTGGGATTCGGGATAGTAGTCCTTACCCGTTTCCATCACCGCGTACTCAATGCCGTTGATGATTCGCGTTTCGTTGCTCTCTTGTAGCTTGACCTCGGCCGTGTGGCCGCTGCCGGCGCAGTCGAAATGGCTACCGCGCTGCAAATGCAGTACCCGAACGTTGGTCAAGCGACCGCGTAGACGTAGGTCTTCCCCGCGCAGGATAACATGGCTGGGCATAGTCAGCTCGCCACCTTCGTCGACCAGATAAGTCACGGGAGCGTCGTGTACTGTCTCGTTCGTCACGACAACCTCAACAAACAAGCGCTGCGTGTCTCGCACGTGAACAACACCAGTGCGGTCGCCAAGCATCTTGTGACCGACCACGGTGACATCGTTGGTTGGCGAATCGTAAAACCAAAGCAAAGCAAAGCCATTGAGGGTCATTTCATTGAACTCGAGCAGGTCCGTGGCCGTGTCCATAATAACACCCGGTAGGGCGCCGGCCCGGTCCTCGTTGTCGACAATGACACGCTCGTGCGGCGATACGGGGAGAATTTCGGCCAAAGACGGATCGTACTTGTAAATCTCATACTGCGGTCCTCGATTGCTCTCAAAAGCAAACACTGTGCCCGGACCGCCCTGCGGCAAGCCTCCAACGGAACGCAAGGCACCGCCGAAAGCAAAGGCAAAGCTGGCATGAATGGCCATGCGGCCACCAGATCCACCAAAACCGGTACCGTTTCCAGCGCCGCCGTTCACGTTGGCCTCACCGTGTCCGGTGATGTTCAGGGTTTCGATAAAGATGGAACCACCCGAGCCACCGCTGCTATCGACATAGCCGGGAGCACCACCAACGAACAGCAGGCCGTCCAGTTCTGTTTCAGCACCGGTTTGTACGTGCAAGCGGCCGCCGCCGGCACCAAGGGTGCAAGTCGCCTTCAAGTGCGTTGCCACGCCGTTTTGGTAGCAAACTCCAACAACGAGGTCGTCTGACGGGGAGCCTGCACCCGAACCTGCTTGGAAAGGAGAGTAAACGGTGCCGTGGGGATTTGAGCTTGGAAGCGCAGGGTCTTGACCACCACCAAAGCCGCCATAGCTGGCACCCACCCCGGCACTTCCAGCGCCAGGCCCTTCACCGGGCATGAACCCCCGACCAGGTGCCACGAGGGCACCCTCACTCTCGACGGATAACAAGCGGGCTGAGACCACCAGTTCGTTGAAGATGAGCAAGGCACCATAGCGCACAATCAAGGTTGATGCAGTAATGGTAAGGTTGTCTGCAATGTTGCTAAACTCGAGCTGAGAGCCGAGTTTGACATAAATAGCCGCAATGGAGATGTTGGACGAGTTGGACACATCCACGTGCATTCCCTGATCCAACTGTGCCGTGTTGACGGTTGAGTAGAAAATCGAATTCGAGCCATCCGTAGCCAAAAGCGTCTTGACGTTTGTGATGGTTCCGGAAAAGCTCGAGTTGACACCCATGAGATGAACTTCGACAGGCCATACAATCTCTGATCCAGCGTCCAGCAAGAAAGAGGTCGGCGCCTCCGTCGAATTGGCAAAGTTTTCCACGTACTCAGCAAAAAGAATCTGTCCATCCTGCAGGTGCAGAATACCCGTGCGATCACCTCGGAAGAGGTGGGCGGTTACGTTGACACGATAGTCGTGGTAGAACGCCAAGCGCGCAAAACCTGTGACCTCAATCTCGTCAAATTCATAGACTTGCGTGTTGTTCTCCATGATGACGGTCGCACCAAAAACCGCAACGGCCAGATTATCAGCGTGCACGTACGTAAAGTCCGCTGCCAAGAGCACTTCCTGGCGAGAGAAAGAATACTTTTGCTCGCGATAAGACAGAGGGCGAAGTGTTTCTTCGACGTAGGACGTGCCCGCCGCAGCGCCCCGCCAGTTGATGGCGCCGCCCTTGGCAGGATGGTTGTATGAGTCGCCAAGAACCACGGCATAACAGGCCATATTGTTATCCGAGTTTGAGGCAACGCAGATGTGTCTGCCGTCAAACACCATGTTGTGGATGGTACGTGCCACTGTAAAAGTGTAGCCGTCGAAGTGGCCCGTGGCAAGGTCATACCGCCAAATCTGGTTACCGGTGCCGTAGAAAAGCTTGTCGTGCACAATTGCCAAGCCGCCGTAGAGCTGCGCGGTAAAAGGCGCGCCGCCAACCAAACCATACGAATAAAGAATTTTACCTGACGCGCGATCCATGACGTACACCGTCTCATCCTGGCCACGCATGGCATAAACGTAGCGGCCACTGGAGGCCACCGCCGCAGCGCCGCTACCATGGAGCATGTACTGCAGGTCAGTTTCCCATAGCTGATCAGAGCTGGGGTAAGGGCCAAAGGCCATTACTTTGTTGCCGTCACCGTTTGCGAGGAACTGATAGCCATACTCATCGAACCAAAGCGACATGATGTTCGCGTCACCAACGATGGAAGCGCCCGTGTAGGCTCGCGAGTCCCGATTATAGCGGTCGACAATGGCAGATTGCGAACGAGGGAACCAGTACTCCATTGTGATGGGGTTAAAGCCAGCACCGTAGTCAGCCGGATTCAGCGCCAACGTGAAGGACGTGGGCGTCGATTGCTCAAATGGGGGATGGACATCAATGCCGCCAGCGTCGCGCAGCTCGCCACCATAGGTGAAGCGGTTCGTACACAAAACGGCAATGCGACCACCGGCACCACCGTAGCCGTCAACACCGCCAGAACCACCGGCGACCGAGAGCGTACCGTGACCAGACATGTTGAAGGCCTCGATTTGCAAGGTGCCACCGCTGCCACCGCCGGTGCGGCGGCCGTCAC